CAGACAACCTCTCGTCAATATGCGTTTTTTGCATTGCATTACTGCAAAAAACGCATAAAAATTACCTCAAAATATAATTTTTCGCAGAAACTCGGTAAAATGAATGCATTTTGAATTAACTAGTTGCAGTTGCGAATTGTTCTCTTCGATGCAGCACTCGGCACGTACAGAAAGTTGCAGCAACTGTTCGAGAAGTCGCTTTGGCTGTACCGTGACGAACGTACGCGGAAGGGAGTGAATAGGCTGAGGAAGCAGCTCGCTGCTGCTGGCGTCAAATTTACTTCCTCATTCCACGTCTTTTTTGTCGTACGTTTATTTCATGGCTTCTAAATTTCCATTTTTTTTCTGTTTTCAATTGCAAAATACTTTCACGGAATTTTGGACGAAACTCCCAGCCACACTTCATACGACAAGGCTTCTGCGATTTGGCACTATCTGTAAATCATTTTAAGCATCCCTTGCGATTCAAGGCCAATTTTCCGGTGTCAGCGCAGCTGGATTATGAAAACCCCAGATTTTCGCTATCATAATCCTAAATTTCGCAAAATCAGAGATGATGGCGCAGTTTTTTTGCTGTGAATTTATGCAGGATCCAAACCCCTGCAACCAAATTTTCAAAGTCTCTCCCTAAAGTAATTAAATCTTTCTAGTATATCTCTGTTCTGCCTTTAAGTAACAGTTTGAGATAAACGGAATCATGAATTCATCTTTCCAACTGCAGGCGCTTGAGGTGCTGGAGCTGTGCGAGGCATATTTGACGCTCTGCAATGGCCGTTCCCGAACTCACCAATACATCTGTTCGAAGATCAGTACGACACGCTTCAAGGAAATAAGGCGTCATTACAGAGATCTACTGTTCACCGTCCGGCACTTTCGATGTGTTGTCGAGCTCCACGATAAAACCCGAATCAACAAGTGGCTTACTAAGATCGAACAGTGCGTTCGAAAAGTGGTATGCATCGGTCGTAGCGAATCTCTCCAGTGCTCGTAACTATGCTTCAAGCTGTGCTTCTTAATTGAATTACGGGTCAGGTGGCGTACTGGTAATTGAAATTGCAATGTGAGAAGTTCGTACACAAGCATCAGCATTTCCACCCCAATGTACATCACATGCTAACTATTCAAGAGTCTGTGGTGTACCATGAATTCAGAAGAATGAGGAAGTACCATCAAAACTGAAGCCTACCCTCATTCAGCCTTCAAGTGAATTAAGCTACTTTGACATACACTCGTTTTCTCTTCGCAACTAAACTTGGCGCTCTCCACCCTGTAATTTCTTGTACTGATCCCTTCAATTTTGCATGAATCAGTGGTCATCTGTTCACGGTCCATTCCTTTTTCTCAAATCAAATGCTTTGTTAAAACATATTACGGTACACGCACCTCATTGATAACAGTGATAAAATATGTGTTTATTTTCGACAAAAGGATATGTCTATGCAGTCAATATTTATAAGGCAAATCAGCTTTTTGCTGCCTTGGTTCTTCGTATGTGTGCATGTATTTTTATGCGTTTTGTAGCTATGCAGTGCGGAAAACGCATATTGACGAAAGGTTGCCTGTGTGTGTGTGTTTTTATGTGTGTCTTTGTGTGCGCTGCGTGTCTGTACCGATTTTTCCGACTCTGGTCTTAAATATAAAATATATTATTGAATTTATCGGCTAAGCCGTATAATTTACTGGGCTTCTTTTGTTTTTTTTAAAGTCAGGGAGGCACAAGGCCAAAATCACACAACAAGGGGCTATGCCTTGTGCTCGCAAAAGGACGAGGCTTGCGGGTTAATTAGTGAACTGGCCCGTTTTGGTTTTTTTTATGCGTTTTTGCTGTGCAGCGCTATAGCGGCGCTGCTACAGACAGCAACCCAGGCTGGAACGCACCAAGCGGGCCCGTGCGATCATGCGTTTTTGCACTGGACTCAAATTACTCAGGTCATTAACTGTACGAATTGCTGTTGCTTTACACCTACCTGTTGCGGTCACTTGCATAAATCACCATAAATTTTGCAAAGTAAATGTACCATTTCCATTTAACAGTCGTTCTTTAAAATTAACCTAGTTGTTCAGTGAGAAATTTTTTCGTCAAGACTTTAAGTGCCCGTACTTAAGAACCACGTATTTCTTAAAGCTGAATTTAAAATACTTAAATTGTACTTGTACTGGGAACATTCCCTCAAATTTTCAGCTTTCCAGCTTTTCTGGTTACCGAGTTTGCAGTTTTTCCGCTAAAACCTTCACATCCCCGTATTTGGGTACTCCATGTGCTTGGAAAGCTGAATTTAAAATTTTTAAATTGCACGTGGGCAGGGAATATCCTCCTAAAATTTCAGCCTTCCAGTTCTTTTGATTGCCGAGTTAATAATTTTCCTGCAGAAACTTTCATACGCCCTTAGGTGAGTACCACGCATAGCTTGGGGCTGAATTTGAAATATTTGAATTGTACTTGGGTAGAGAACATTCCTTCAGAATTTCAGCTTTCTAGCTTTTCTGGTACCCGAGTTAGCAATTTTCCCCCTAAAACTTTCATACGCCCTTACATGAGTACCACGTATATCTGGAGGTTGAATTTGAAATCTTTAGCTAGTGCATGCGCAGGGAATATCCCTACAAAGTTTCAGCCTCTTAGCTCATTTGGTTCCCGAGGTCGAGTTCCCGCCAAAAAATTTGCATATTTTTTTAAAGCGTCCGTACGCGGCACCTAGGCGTCCGA